CCCCAGAATTCCCCAGCCAGCCATGCCGGCTGGGGAATTCTGGGGGTTGAAGTCCACTCATCTTAAAGTGGCCAAGTTTGGACAACACTGAGTTATGCTAAACAAGAGATTTGCTATAAAAAGCAACTGAATCACTTTATACAGACACTGTTGGGCACTTTCTCTAATGGCAGAAAGCAAACAATGGAGGCTGACACTGTTACTCATTTTATCAGACCACTAATATACATGCATACATAAGGGCATCCCTGTAAGTGCAACTGAGTCAAAAACTGTGGAATTATATAGCGAGCCACTCTTTATCCAAAGATTCAAAAGATTTAATTAAACTGAACTGACACATTTCTGTTATATATGTAATTTGTTTCTGTATGTAACACCAAGCCACGATTTAAACCATGTTTGCCAAGCAAACAGCAACAACTCCATTCACCATAATTATTCTGCTGTAAGGGTGGGTTCATATATCACACTAAGCTGAAGAACATGCCACATTATGGCTTAGTGTGTTACGCCTAACAGTCACTCTCCTCCTTCCCTTTAGATGTGACATCCCCATATTTCATTTGGTTAAATATTTAACTTACATACGCTAAGATTGCTGTGAATTTAGCTTTCTTGTTTGTTCAATAAACTCAGACATTCACAGCCAGCGAAACGTGGAATTCATCTCTCTGCAACAATGAAATAAGATTGTTCAACACATACCATACCCTCAAAATCAGTTTACTTCAGCCTTTCCCTCTCTTGGCTATAAAGAAAATATCTGATTGTACTTGATTTAGGGGCAGAACTTAAGGAATAGAAGTGACTAGACCAAGGAGAAGTGACTGGATCAAGAATGCGGGGGGGGGGTTATCATCTCCTTAGCAGCCTTGGAATAAATTTGTTAGAATCCTCAAGAAGCAGGAAGTCTAGAAAAAGTGAAGAGACACAAAGAAGAAACAGGTTAAAACATGTGATAGGAATTTGCATTAGATATTTTAGAGTGTGTGCGCGCACTGGGCTAAGTCAAGTTTAATACTATCGCTCTGAACAAATCAGAGCAATTAAAATTGCATGTTAATTTTATTTATAATCTTATGGTAGTCTGTATAATAAACTCAATCATTTCTCATCTCATAGGGTGCAAGCATTCATTTGCAGCAGACCAGCCCCATCTTGTGGTCTGCTTGAGCATTTTCTGTATTTCTTTTGGATTTTTTGTTTAATTGTTGATCTTGGTCAAGGCCATGGTCATTTCTTCTCTAGAGTGCTGGACTTATGCATTTTAAAGTTTAAAGTAAAATGTATATTTTATCTTTTAAAAAAAATTGATTGGCCTATCTCCCAAGGAAGAAAGTACAAGCTGAAACCATTAGTCACATGCCTCTATAGTACAAAGCATTACTTATACTATACCCATTTTTAATTTTTTGTCTCTGTAATCACCAGAAAGGCAGCATAAGTTGAATGTCTTATCTCTCACACAAGCTGGGGTTAGAGAGGGCACAAAGTGACGTGCCCCTGGAAGATAGGTGGTAACAGTGAGAATTACCAAGCCTCTAACTCAGAGCAAGAGGCAGGACCAGGAGGTGTGAAAGAATGTCTGAGATTTCCATTCAACAGGGTCAACCATTCCACCCCAAAGACCTTGGAGGTTTAAAAACGATTCTACCGATTTAACTATTCATATAAACAGTGCAGAACTACAGAGGCACATGAACAAAGATATACAGCACAGTGAAAAGCTTCTGGAATTAGGAATGAAATCTTAACATTCTCATTATATCATTTGCAACACAATGTATATCTCTAAAGCAAAATTTAGATATACATTTTTTAAAAAATGAAAGAAGATCTAAACTTATACCATCAACATTTCTCAAGCTTTATGTGAACTTCATTTCTACTGGGCTTCTCTTTAAAATGGTCCTCTCCAACATGAAAAAATAATAACTAGAAAGATTCAGGCAAAGGGAATAAAAATAAGGGCTTTATTCAAAATTAGTTGAACATCAGTTATACAATAAAAGTGGGGCCCGACAAATAGGTTACCCAATGCAAGAGGCTGTCCAATGATAAAAAATAAAAGACTACATTAAGACGGTGAGTGAACCATCTTTGAGAAGGTTTACTATGTGTGATCCTCAGTCCTTAATAATCCTCCTATGAGCCTGTATTAAATCAGAAAGTGTTTTCTCCATTTATTTGCAGAAATCTGGTTCTCACACAGGGTTTCTCTCATATGAAAAGTTGAGAAAAATATACAGAAACATTCTGTTGTTCTAGCTAAAGCCTAATCAATTCATTTGCCACCATGACTCATAGTAGGATATGAAATCCAACCTCCAGAGAGAAACTGCTAAAATCTAACAGCCCTTGTCTAACACTTAGTGAGAAGTGAAAGCTAAGCAAGTAGGCACAGTACAAACCACAAAGTGCCATATTTGCTGCACATCATGAGAGTTACGGGCAAAGCATTTGTAAGGTGGTCTTTATTTCTCAGCCACAGGCTTGGCCTTCCCTTGATCTTCCACTTTCTTGATGGCAGCTTGTATGGCTTCTTGGTCACCAAGAAATTGGTGCTGGCCAAGCGGTTTCAGATTTTCATCAAGTTCAAGGAGAACTGGGACACCAGTGGGAAGAGTCACGTTGACTATAGCCTCATCAGAGATACCTGTAGAGAAGCAAGGAACAAATTTACACACTATCTTATGCTGGCTCTAGGTGGGCTTTAGAACTATCATGAAATGTAACCCCAAGGAGTCAATATCCACAAAACAGAATTCCCTGTCTTTCCCTACTTCCCAGTCCCCCATCTCATATACCAAGAAAAACACTTCAGTCTTTCACTCAAGAAAGATACTATCAATTTTGAAGACCAAGTGGGAAAAAACTGGGCAGCATTCATTTCTGTACCAATAGCCTATTCTCTCATTTGCTCATTCATGCCCCAAAGACGGTCCATTTCCTGGAGTTGCTGATGGGATTGTTTCACATCTGTCACCATCTCAGAAGCAGAGGCTATCATGGTAAAGCTGATGAACAAACCAATGCTTCATGTAGCCCAGTGTTTTTCAACTTGCCAACTTTAAGATGTGTGGACGTCAACTCCCAGAATTCCCCAGTCAGCAATTCTGGGAGTTGAAGTCCACACATCCCGAAGTTGGCAAGTCTGAAAAACACCGATGTAATCTTTGTATTTAGGCAGACGTAGAAAGGGAGGTGCTTTCAATATGGCAGATTTTTCAAAATACATTTCAGTCCTTCTCACGCCTCTTTAGAAACCCAATTTCCTTGAGTAATCAAATGCCCTACAAACATCAATTTGAGAAAATGTAGGCAATCATTTATGGGTGAAATTAAGGTTGCTGTTTTTATTTACAGTTCTAAAACTGCTAATAACCAATGTTCTGACGTAGAATTAAAATAGCATGCACCAACCGAACGAAGCAGAATGCAAAATGCCCTAGCAATTTTGAGCTTATATAAATAGAGGCCAGTTCTTAGATTTGCTAAAAATTTTAGAATCTTTTGCTTGTTTTAAAATGTTCTAAATTAAACCACATGGAGTGTTCAGAAATTTTCTTTAAAATGAAACAAGAAAAATCCTGATTGAGTTAATGCAAGAGAGATGCAAATGAGACTGGGATCAAACATCAAGCTTAGCTCAAAATCGGGGTTTACAACCACAAATGAGATTGGATTCAGTGCAACATTCTGGACCAAAAAAGCCACACCTTCTTATAGATTTACAATGAGCTGAGCTAGTCAGCAAGTCAGTTCTGTACAAACGTATTGAGGACAAGGTTACAAAACAGACGCATATCACATATCCTTCCAAGGATCCATGCAATATATAATGCCAGAACTCCAACCCAGCATAACAGATGTTTTGACAAGTATGAAGAAAGTACTTGTTTTACTTTTAAAAACAAGCAAAACCACCAAGCATAATCTCTGACCCTAACCAATGTGTTTCCTTCTTCGACGTAAGACCCACGCTGGATCACCCAAGGTTCCAGTTTTTAAGAGACCATCCAGATTCTTCTAAGAAGTCCACAAAGCAAGGCAACAGTCTTACCTTGGTATCTGCCCACTTCCCAAAGAAATATACATACATGCATACACACACAAAAGCAACCAGCTTTTGTAACTATTATCCTACAAAAATTGAACTGCCCTCTTTTAAAAGGATATAAATCATGCCTTATGTTGATGAGTTTCCTGAGTTATGGATGCACCATGCCCTCCATGGCCCTTCTCCAATCCCAGACAATGCATCTGGCCTGGTATGTTGGGCATATCTGTGATTCTTCTTGTCCTTAATGTTTGCCTTCTCTTTCTCTTTAAGGAAGGTAGGTTTCTCTGCCAAACATTTCAGGACAGAATCAATGAAGCAGTATGACTGTCAACAATGGATCTATTATAAGAGTCAGAACTTCGTAAAAAGAGGAAAATGCAGCAGGGGTAGCCGTGAAGAAAACGGTGTTAATCCTGCCATACCAACAAGAGCTACATACACTTTACAGGAGAAAGTTACAATATTTTCCCCAAATGTTATCAGTTGTTTAAGAGATGCAGAACAGCTGAGAAACATCCATCTTTCCTTGACGCACTATACAGGACAAACAGGAGAAAAACCCGCTGACAGCTGAGTTGATGGGAAAATTTCTCAGAGCTGTATTCCTGGAAAATGAGTTTGCATTATGAAAGGAGAGTGTGGAAGCCTGGTAAAATTCATGAAATCATTAAAGCTACAATGTAGTCCACATTTGAGAGCAAAATCCAGTGAAATTGGAGGGATGAATCCATCAAGGCTGAGCAAACTAAGAACTGAATAATAACAAGAGATCAACCTTTTTTGATCCAGGACCACAAAACCGGTATCTTAAGCAGCCATCTTATCCTGTAAAATTGGCAAGGGTTTGAGTGGAGTTTAAAAAAACTCCTAAAAAAAAAAAAAAAGACTCAATTGGCCCCACTTAGCATCCAAAAGCTGCAGAGAAGAACTACAGGTAGTCCTCAACTTACGACGGCGCTGAAAAAGTGACTTACAGCCAGTCCTCAACTTACAACCATCACAAAGTCCCCATGGTCATGTGATCAAAATTCAGGTGCTTGGCAACCGGCATGTATTTGCAATGGTTGTAGCATCCTAGCCATTTGCGATCTTCCCAGGGGGTTTCTGACAAGCAAAGTCAATGGGGGAAGCTGGATTTGCTTAACAACCATGTAATTCGCTTAATGATCATGGTGATTCGCTTAATGACCGCAGCAAAATAGGCCATAAAATCGGGTGCAACTTAATGACTGCATCGCTTAGCAACAGAACTTCTGGTGCCAACTGTGGTCATAAGTCAAGAACTACCTGTAAAAAAATCCAAAATATAGCTAAAAGCTGTTTGCCCCTGCAGGTAGGCAACCATCTTTATTAAATGCTCCCTTATCTCGACAGGTGGTAGCATCTGGCCAATCTCACTTGCACTCTGAAGCTAAGCAGCATCAGAGCTGGTTAGTCTAGAGATAAGAGACCACCAGGGAATGGCAGGTCTGTAGTGAAAAACAGCTTGGAAAGAGCCAGTGACAAACAACTTCTGAACTGCTGCAAAGAAAACAACATGGACATGTCTATACAGTCATCAGGAGCCAACGTCAATTTGAGGACCTCTTTATCTTTTATTGATTTCATGACCTTAATTTAGCCAATTACAACTCACATGATGTCACACACCAATCCCTGCATGTGCCAAATGGGTGCTTACATTATCACATGCTTGACAAGAAATACATTTCCTTCTTATTTACAAAAGTGACTTTGCTAGGTTGCAAAAAAACAATTAGTACTCAATATAACAGCTTTCCCCAACCAGAATTCCTAGACTAGTTACTGTGAGGAATTCTGGGAAATGCAGTCTACACATTCAGAGGGTACTCAGAGTGGTAAAGACTGCATTATAGTCCACTGAGCAAGAAATAATATAGGAAAGTACATAATGATAAGTAGCCACTGGTCAATCAGGAAAGGTAGGGGAGTTGCTGTTGTGCAAAGCAAACTATAACAGAGCATTACAAATTATGCCTGTTGCAATAAGATGCAGATGTAGCTTCTTAGTGAGTCATATTTGGACCTTCACTTAGAACAGGGAGTTACAGCTATGAACTTTAAATGCACATATCCCTATCCTCCTAAAATAACACTCCAATACACAAAAATCACAGAAGCCCTATATGGGAAATGGTGTCCAACTTGATGTCCTTCCAGATGTGTCCCAATTACAACCAGAATTGGGACCAAACTTACATCTCTAAGTGATGCAATCATTAAGTCGCACCCAATTTTACATCCTTTTTGCTGCAGTCATTAAGCAAATCACCACGAACATTAAGCAAATCACGTAGTCATTAAGGGAATCCGGCTTCCCTCACTGACTTATATTTATCAAATTTGTCACCGCCCATCTCGTTGAAATGACTTTACTTGTTGGAAGCCCCCTGGGAAAGTTCCAAATGGCAATCATGTGACCCTGGGACATTGCAACTGTTGTAAATACATACCAGTTGCCAAGTGCCCAAATTTTGACCACATGACCACAGAGACTCTGCAATGGCTGTAAGCACAAGGACCAGTCATAAGTCACTTTTTTTCAGTGCCATCATAACTTCAAACGGTCATTAAACAAATTGTCGTAAGTCAAGGACTACCTGTATAACCACATCAAACCCATCCAGCACATTCAACAGACATTAGAACTGTTATAGGCCAACATTTCTGGGAAGCATTCACTTACACGAGGTTACTCTCAGATTTGTTTAAGAAATAGTGGGAGATTCAAAAGATGAAAAGCATTTGGAAAGACGGGTGATCTAAGGCTGTTCTTATCTCCATGAGTGTTCACCAGGGCTGAAAATTAGCACTGGCCTATTTCAATAAATTAGTGAACTGCTGGTGCAAAACATAAATGTCAACCAAAGTCAGTGTCCAATTACTTCAAATACTTGTAACATTAACTAGCTGACCTTTCTATATCCATCTCTTTGCATTCTGCAATCCCAGCACTTTTCATCAAGCTAAACCGAATAAAGCAGTACTACTCAGAAGCAGCAGGGAATCATACGCAGCAATCCAATGGCATAGACAAGGGAAGAGTCTTCCCCAATCCAGTGCCTTCCAAGTGAATTGGAGCTGCAAATCCCAGATCTCCCCCAGAATGAACGGTATTTTGGGAGTTATAGTTCAAATATCTTCAGGGTGCCATGCTGGTAAAGGCTATTCCAATATGGGCACTTATTGCATAATTTTTTTAAAAAAATACTGCTAGGCACAGGGATGAACAAGTCTTATGATCCAGCTGCTTAAGCAGCTTACTGTCACGGGATCATCTAAATTAAAGGAATAGCTATCTTTCAAAATGTCATTTAATTGTTCGGCTTTTTAGAGGCAGACAGGCTGATCTGGCATGGGATGGGGTTCCTGTCCTGTGATTTCAGTACAGTATCTGAAAATCTTGTCTATTTCCTATAAGCTGTAATGTTTCTGTGGCCATTTTCAGTCATCGCAGTTTCAACTGCGGCTCAAATTCTTTTACGAATCTAGAAAACTTTATTCATTTTAGGTATAACTACAAGCATCAGTTTTTAAATCTCAGATTAAAACTGACACACATAGATGGTTAAAAATACCACTCAATTTGCAAGGAAAGATAAATATGGCAAAATTGGTTTTTCTTGAGGATTGATATATTTATTTAGATACATTCCTCTGCTAATACCATTCCTCTGCTAATACCTTTAAATTACTTTGAGGAGACCAAGTATTTGAAAAAAATATATATAGGAAAGCTGAACTCCTAGATTTTCTTTATGTAAATTACGACTATTAGATCATGTTGGAGGAGTTAATTTTCCAGACTTTTGGCTTTATTACCAGACACATATTTTTAACTCAATTGCTCTAACTGAATGCAAGTGATCAATCAAAAACTTCATTAAGGGACACACTCAGAAAGTTATGAAACCCTCTGATATCACAGCAGAGGTATAAGGCAGGGCCAGAAGCCAGTCTTTTGATTAGGGCAGCATATAAATATAATACAATATTTAGACACAGCTACAGTGTATTTCCTGTATTAAAAGCTGTAAGGCACATTTGACAGATGTCGGAACAGACTATAATTTCAACTCTTAGTTTACACAAAAAATTGCATTTGGGAAATCCCTGTTTGAAAATAGTAATTAAAACTTACTGGCAGGGGAAATCAAGGGCAAATAGTGGTATTAATATTTTAGATCAGCAAGCAGTGGTGTTTATTTTAAAGCAGCAAAAAACCCCTTTTTCCTAGAATGTCCCCGTTTTCCATGGGAATTCATCTGCTTCCAGCAAAATCAGGCTGGCAGCATTACTAGACGGACTTTCTCCCCCTTTTCAAACCACTGTCTCCCAAAACAGGATGCATTAATTAAAAACGAGAAACAGGCGCTGCCTTTTGACAAGGCATACAAAGCAACTAGAGTCCTAGGAAAAGGGAGGGGAAGGACAACTTCCAGGCCAGAACAAAGAGGCGAGTTATCAAGCAGTGCTTATGTCCAGTTCAAGCCATCTGTTCTTCCCATGCTGGTAGTCTTGCCTGAATAGCAATTGGTGGCCACTGGGATTTTGCTAGAAGACAACCACATCTAGATTCTCAGCAGTTCTTCCACTCAATGTTTTAGGGAAGAGCTTATTATGAGTGTATTCATACTTCCCTTTTACTTCCCTAAATCCACATTTCACTGGAGGAACAGAACAAAAATTGACGCATAGACAACAAGCAAGCAAACTGTTTCTAAGCAACCTTCTGTTCTTTCACTTCTAAGCGACATTATCAGCCACAAGAGCACCATAATTTAGGACTAAGACATATTATGGATTTATGGAGGCCCTTGACTTTGAGCGTAAAAGACCTGCCCCAAATGTGGCAAGAGCCACATGTAATTCTTAATCTTCAACTTTCCAGCATTCCAAGGAACTGCTTGTGTTGTGTAGGATTAAGATGTACTTATTTAATAAGAACTTGACAGGTTGCTCCAATGTTGGGAAATAGCACATTTAAGTAAGCCTCGCTGAAGAAATCATTTTAAAATTACAACATGATAGTTATTGCTCTACTTCTCAGGAGGGAAAAATCTCACCTAAAATAAAAGATGCTACTAGCTCTGGGTAACAGTGAGGAACAAGTTGGTTCTAGGAATGATCTAAATCAAATAAAAGCATGCAAGATTTGGAGACAAAACAGGCATTTATTTACTACTAATTTCCAGGACTCTGTACAGTAATCCCTTACCTTCTTGATGATAAACCTAATTAATGAGACCCCTTGTGACTCTGAGTTTTATTCTGCTACTGGGGCAAGAAAGGTGGTTTAAGGAGGCAATGAAAGGGTGGTGGTAAACCCTGAACATGTATTTTCTGAGCCCAAAGCAGCCCACAGGTACAGTGGGGACACCCATGCTAGACCCAAAGCACATTGGCCTGTTTTGGGTCTGAATGCTGCCCACCTCTAAAGTCAAGCCTTAAGCAGGTAATAAGAATGAGGTCCCTTATACTTTACAACAGTGGTTCTTAAACCACTGTTACTCCAGTGGGGTAATTTGGGCATATCTTGGGGTAATGGAGTAAATTGTGAGTGCTTGTTTGTGAGCTGAGGATCCAGTTTGGGACTGCCACTGCAGAGATGCTTCTGTAAAATAACAGGTTGAGGGTTTTTTGTTTTTTTTGTGGGGGCAATGACATTATTTAAGGCCACAAAAGGAGTAATGGGGTCCAACAGTTTAAGAACCACTGCTTAGGAGATTGGTCCAGGACTACTAAGATGAAAAGCAGATAATAAAGTGGAAGTTAGGTTGGTGATAAGAGCTATGCAAAATTTATGACAAGACTTGCCCAAGGACTTTTGTACCTTTCCAGGCATGCCATAAATTTCTACTACTACTGCAACCCATGGCATCCATTCTTTGCTATCCCCACCTCAAAACAGTACATGACCGGAACAGACAAGCTGGTCTCCTCCAAGTGTTTTTAACTGCAATTTCATCAATTCTGGCCAACATATTAGTCATGAGAGATCACAGGAGTCACAGTCCAAATCATCCGGGAAAGACCAGGTTTGCTTACAGTTGACACTCGATTATAAAATACTCTCTACATAAAATAAATCATGCCCAAGATTAGAGTAGCCTGATGGAGAGGGAAAAATAAGGATTAGATTTAGCTAAAAGAGGTTAGATATGAACACTGTTTAGATTCAGACACGTTGCTTGCTTTTGGATAAGCATATCTGAATGCAACTCACTGCAGTTTGTAAACCACATCTCAGAGCTTAGCTTACATAAAAACCAGGCCACCATGACGTGCTCAACCATGACTGAAATAAGCCATGGCTTGCTGCACCATACGGACCCAGACCTTCTCTTAAAGCCTAATTTGAACAGATCACCAAGACAAAAACTGCAGCCTACATTACTAAGTATTTATCTTGGTATCTGAAGGAGTAACTATGCCACAGACAACACAGTTGAAAGTGCTACAAATTGAAAGTCGATCCAATTCTCATCTCTACAAATACCATGATTTTGGGGAAGGGGAGGAGAAACCATAATTAGGTGAACATAACATCAATAGCATACATATATACTTTTAGCAGGGTCCTCCAGGGTTAGGGAGATCCATACCAAAGAAGATATCACATTCCAACAAGGCTTCCAAACCACTGTGCTGAAGAGGCCTCACTAGAGCCTGAGGCAAAGTCTGCAAGTGTGATCTCTACTCCAAAATGGATCTCTGTAAGCCCAGAGAAAGCCAACTGAAAGTATGTACATCCAACCCTGGCTACGAATATCCCAAGAAAATCTTAAGCATACATTTTTTTAAGCAATTATTTTTTATTAGTTCTGAAAAAGCCACCTTAGCAGTAGCAACACTGCATTCAGAATTTAATAGTACCTTCCAGATGCTTCAGAAGAGCCCTCGTGCTGTTCCCGTGGGCAGAAATTAACACAGTCTTGCCTCTCCTGATTTCCGGAGCTATCCTTTCATTCCAGTAAGGAAGGAGTCTATCCAACACTTGTTTTAAGCTCTCAGACTTAGGAAGCTTCTCCATCGGTACATCACAGTGCTCATACCTGCGATCACTATATATTTCATGATAGTAAGGGTGGACCTCAGTGACGGGGGGTGGGGTGACATCGTAGCTCCTTCTCCACTTTTTCACTTGTTCCTCACCGTGGTTCAAAGCCATCTCTGTCCTGTTGAGGCCAATCAGCGCCCCATAGTGTCGTTCATTCAGCCTCCAGGAAGATTCAGTGGGGACCCACTCCTGCCCCATCTCCTCAAGCACAAGCCATGCAGTTTGAATAGAGCGGCTAAGAATGGAGGTAAACACAAGGTCGAACTCAAAACCAAGCATTTTGAGGTGCCTCCCACAGATCTGAGCTTCCTTCACCCCATCAGGACTCAGTTTCTGGTCAACCCAGCTACAGAATCGATTCTCTTTGTTCCAAGCCCCTTCACCATGTCTTAGCAGGATGAGTCTGTGTTTGGTCATTTTGATTGGAACTTTCTTGAATCTGCAGGATCTACTGAGAAGCTATCTATATGGAAATGAAAGAAATAAGTCAGATGCTTTGGACCACTCTCTAGCATTAACATTATGAACTCATCTAGAATTTCTTGAGGCCATCATGAATAGCAGCAGGCATGCTTCCTCCAAGCTAAATTGTTACCATGACTAATCTTCCTCTGCAACACACAGATTTCTTCCAGGAGAGGATCGCTTTTGCTCTGGAGCTCATTTATAGTCCAACCAAGGCATTAGCAAGACCTAACAAGATTAGCCAATGCCACATGTGAACTGGATGGGAACATGCCTACCATCCAGAATCCTGGGCCAATTCTTATGGCAGATGTGCAGCAATTTCTCACTGACAAGTTGATATGGAACAATTATTTGACAAAAGAAGTTTTGAAAAGTATTGATTGGGGTCATGGAAAAACCACTAGGCACAATATACTGCCCATTGCATTTTAACACCTTACTTCAAGATTCTGTTCCTGGAAAAAACCCTGGGCCAAGCTTGAATGAAATGATAACCAACTTTACTCTTAGTAAGATCCTTCATGTGGTTTAGAGGAAGATTTTGCTTCGTTACAGTTTAATCCAGTTTAGCTCTAACTTTAATCTAAGCACCAGCCTACGGTTAATCTTAACAGAACAAGCCACCTCAATAACAGTGACTTGAATTTTGCTTATTTCAGAAAACCATAGTTAAGAACAACCACAGTCTGCCTGGGATTAAACCAAAATTTTAATGGCAATTCTGAAGGAAATCTGAAGGGAAAGCTTTCAACTTCCTTTTTGCAGCTCCACAGGGAAAGGCAAGGCAAGTGAAGGGTCTGGGACTGACACAGCTTTATTCTTTGTAAACTATGGTTCTCCATTACATGCAGCTAAGGAAAAGGTTAGCTGGAATAGGATCTCCACAAGAACACCAACCTCCAAGGAGGTTCTTCTCAGGAAAAGTTCAGTGCATGCTTTTTCTATTGGCTTATTTTATCCCAGGAGATAATGGAGTCCTTTTTTTTTGAGAATAAGTTTCCCTTTTCACTGACCTGTGATTTAATTACCTTCACACCCCACTCCCTCTTCTGCCAGTTTTAGGCATCTAACAGATTGTTGGTAGATATTTTGTTCGTTAACATCTAAACACTGCACATATCCTTCTGTATATATATGAATTCCAAACACTATGTATAGATAATGTTTGCAATTCATTAGTCGATACTCATAACTCTCAGTATGTGGCAACAGGATGGTGAAGGAGGAGTGTGAGTATCAGAGACAACAATCACCTCCGCACTTGGTTATTTGCTTTGGGGCATCTGATGGTACCAATAAAGATCTCTGCATTTAAAGAATGGTTGCATGTGGCAGACAAAGCAACCAGAATTCTGGTGAAGTCACATTTACAGGAACAAGGGAGTTCAGCTGATTCCACTTAACCATTCCTGTTGGCAAAAGTCATCAAAGAAACAAGAAACTGAAAGCTCAGAATGTCACTCTAACTGGTTTTCCAGACTGGATGCCCCCAAATAAGCCAAGATGTATCAACCAAGAATTATCCCTGATAGGTAAGAGCTGCATCAAGTCAGGACCCATCAACCTTCACTTTGGGTTCAGTTGGCTGTTCATACTGGATGGAGGACCCAAGTGAAAACAACTGAGCAGAGGGTACCAGATGTAGATCACTTACAGTTAACTAGGATATTCCAGAATTCTGACAATCAGCAAAAGAATAATGTGGCCTGGAGATGCATCAGATCACTGAAGATGAAACTAAAACATTAAAAAAAGCAAAAAAATTAATAAAGCTCCAGAACCTGATATTTTTTCTGCATTAAAAGACTTTTCAAGCAATTTTAGTTAAACTATTAACTCAAATAATGAATGACATTCAGAAATCAAGAACTTCATCAAGGGAAGATGCTTTCATCTTTCATTTATAAAGAGGGAAATTACCTGAACCACACAAAGTCATACAGATCTATTTCTTTATTGAATGTACTGTACATTACAATCAATAGCAATGCTTGCAAAGAGAATGACTTAACTAAATATATCCTGATCAGAATGGACTTATTCCAAACAGATATAAGAGATGTCAGATATATCCTAAATCTTAATAAACAAAGTGACTATGATTTTTCTTGATGCAGAGAAAACCTTTTACAACTTGGAATTCTAAAGAAGATTAACTCTGGCTCTGATTTTTTCACACTGGTACAGAGTATTTATTAAGAACAAAAAGCCAAGATAATAGTCAATGGCTCTGTCACAACAATGCCCTATAATGAAGGGGACAAGAAAGGTTGTCTTTTCTTATTTTTATTGGCATTAGAACCACTGGCAATAGTAATACAGCTAGAAAACAAAATTAAGAATTTAGCAACTCAAGAAGATAAATTGGATTTCTTAAATCAGAATAGATTTTCAACAGACTAGACATAATTTAATATAATTTATAATTGCATTTTATGATTTATACTGTGTAGACTACTGCTTCTGATAGTGATATTCTGTTTAGAACTTAATAGCAATTTGCAGTTTTTATAAAACAAGATAATTCATTTGATCATTTACAATTAAATTACGACATATTGAATAACTTTAATTTCAAAGATACTTGTAGTCCCCACATAGTCCCTGTTTATTCACATTGTACTATACTTTTGATTTTTTCTTAAAATGCCTAATAAAAACATATTTCTAGGAAGATGAGCCATGACAGAATCATGCAAACTGAACTAGGTAATTTCTATCCCACGTACTACTTTCCAATTTCTTGCCACATATTGATGAAAATCAAACCACTCAATCTTTTAATACTCAGTTATTAGTCACACCCTGTAATTTTTATCTTGATGACCAACCAATTAACAATATACCAAGAGCGCTCTGATCAAACTGAACTCTTCCTAAGAAAATGCTGCTGTTCCTGATTTAAATAATTCTAATAATTTTGGTTCTGAGCATTAAATACAGAAGATCTCCTGCTGTGCAATTTCACTTATTTGAAAATAAATTATATTCATAACTAGGATTATCCATATGGTACAAGTAAACTATATAAACCCATTGCATGTTTATTATACAGCAAAACAGTACAGCAACGGTTTACATCATGAAGTAATGCATTCTAAAACAATATTTGGAGGAGCCACCATAACATAGCCCTACTATACTTCAAACTTCTTACTTATGGACTTCCAGAGGAAGAAATGGCAGACTGAAGACAGCTTTGTGAAAAGTGGAGCTGAAGACCTCAGCAAAGAACGAACAGGCAGTGAGTAGACCAGCTCTTTGAACCCCTCCAGACAAAGAGAACAGGAGATTGTCCATAAATGCTCCAGACAGTTGCTCGTGAGCAGGCTGCAAGACAGCTGTCTCCAGGGTTTTGAGCCCTGGGAGATGAGGGAATAGCCATCTTGCTCAAACTGCAGTCCGTGCCTTTAAAAGGATACTAAGTTTGCATACTTCCTTTTCTAATCACATTCAGAAATTGGTTATCAACTACTTTCAACTATTAAAAACCTTTGAATTGACAATCCTGAAAGCACCAGGTAAGTCTGCCTTCAATCCTTAATGAAAGAAAATTTTAACTACAAACTTAAGAACTTTAAAAAAAATTGAGACAAACAGCAAAAAGCTAAGTAAGGCTTTGATTTTATATAACATTACAAATAGATTAAGAGTCCAAATAAATTTGAAATAAGATTTTAGAATTATAAAGAATCCTTCCTGTGGGAAAGTTGACTTGTTTGAATTTTTTCTAAGACATAAAAGAGATAATTTTAAAAATTGGACACTAGTGGGAAGTAAAGATTTTAATTAAAGGAGAATACATAAACCTGATTAACAGCTACAGAACAACACAAATTATAACATTGGAAATACTGAAGTATACTTTTGAAAAATGGAATCAGAATTTAATATCAGCAATGTCAATAGCAATGTTTGCTTTTACAGATAGACTGTGTCCAAAAGATGTTTTGGAAGATGTGGAAGAGGAACAAGTTTCATCTGACAAGACAGAGACTGAGTTTGTACTAAAAGCAGATCTACAAATGACAGGCTGCAAGAATGAAACAGAAAAAGATGTTTCATTGGACCTACAAAAGAAATTGGTTGATGCTTTAAAAGTCAAAAGGGTATTACAAATAAACCAAAAAAGTGAACTGGATAATTCTTTTACATTGGATTTACAAGAGAGTGTAATCTTCAGCATTTCAACTCTGATTTTTTAGGGAAGAGGGAGAAGATAGAGTCTTATCAACATAATAAAGCTCCACCTGAGACTGAGGCAACAATTCACATGAGATAATGTTCCTCTGTACAAATCCTTCAACACAGAAAGCTATCGTGTTAAGGAGAAAGTTCCAAATTCAGCTTTTCCTAATCTTGCATCCTGATGTCAAATTAATCTCCCACCATAATTAATCACTGGGGATGAGAACAGGTGTGACTCAGCAGTATCTGAGAACCTGAGGTTGGGAAAATCGAGCCTAAATCTTATAAGTATTACAGGTAGTCCTCAGTTAACAGTAATTGGGACCGGAATTTCCATCGCTAAGCAATGCAATCATAAAGCACATCATCACGTGACCACATCACTTAACAACAACAACAATCCCGGCACTCCCCATTGCCATTGTTAACTGAATCCCACCTGGTTGTTAGGTGAAGACCCACCCTGATCCAAGCCATTCCCAGTTTGTTCCCTTCCAGCCCCAAGCCCCCACTTCAACTCTCCCACCCACCTTTCTTCCCATCTATGCCCTTTTGGCCAACTGCCAGCCCTGCTGCCCCCAGCTGCCCTTCGCCATCTTCTTCCTCCTGTTGCTGACAAGGCGCGCCCAGCCTGGCCCTTCAACAAGGCAACTGCTGGCCGCGCCAGACCTCCTTCCGAGGCCACGTGCAGCTTTGTCCAAATCACATGCAGCTTTCTCATGAGGCTTTGGAAAATAGTCATCTTGCATTATTTTGGGCTTTGTTTTAACCATCTTGAATTCTTAAGTTATTTGATTGTTGCATGGTTATTTCTTGCACCTGTGCTGCACTGTGGTACTCAAATTGTAAGCAGGACTTAAACACTGCAGTAGCACAATCCATCTGCAATGGTTTGGGGGAAATTGCTGGCTGGGGAATTCTGGGAGTTGAAGTCCACCCATCTTAAAGTTCCCAACTTTGAGAAACACTGATGTATACTATAGTGGTCTTTTTCTTTATAGTGGTCTTTTTCTTTATATTCAATCTTGTATGAAAAAGTCAATTTTATGCTTGCAATAGTGACATCCTAAACTAATTAACACTGGCAGTATTGAATATAGAGAAAAAAGAAATATTCTAAGTTATCCAATAGAATCTCAATATCTTTAATACTGTATAAATGAAACAATATAATGTATTAATATATATAATAAAGGGAATAAATAAAAATTGCACAGTAAACAAACAATCCTTTGGGCATAAAGATTCCAAAATGCATTATGGTCAAGGGAGCCAAAACTACCATGCTCAGAATAAACCAGAGCCATGCCAATCCAGCAGGAAAAAAATCCATGTGCTTGGAAAATTAAATTACATAATTACATAAAGAGAAGTGTTTTGTCAACCACCCTCAAAACATGTGTTTTGAAGATCAGTTCCTCAACAGAGCCAAAAATCACACCAAACAGGGTCATTATGTAGCTAGCCAATATCAGAAAATAACTGATTCAATCTGCTCAAACAGAGATCTTGCATCAGTGCCAAGGGCCCGTCTGGTTACAAATGGATTTCTGATGAGGAGTGATTACCTAAGCAACCCAGCCTGGACTTCTTCACTTCTCTTATCTACTCAAAGGACCACAGCAATCCCACAAGAGAAGGGCAGAATGGTTTTCTTAGCTGGATTCTCATTTATGGCTGGCTTCTTTGAAGCAGACACATTAAGCTTTGCAATGAGTATTGCAGGAAGCACAGCTGATAATCACTAGAATTAAACCTGTGATTGCACTATAGGCACACTTAGGGTACCCAGTGACAGTGTTTCTCAACCTTGGGAACTTGAAGATGTGTGGACTTCAACTCCCAGAATTCCCC